CCACCCACAATGGGCCGGCCCCACCCCTGTCAATAACTAATTTAAAAAATGCCTTGCAGCTGGATCTTATGTAGGTATTTTCTCAATTTATATTTCCTTCCTTCAGATAAATCTAGTTGTGTGTCATGTTGACATAAGACTAGCAAGCTCAGATATCAAAACACAAAGAACCAGTCACACCCTTTACCCCAGAGACCCCCTCCTAGAAAAGTATCCTACAGGAGGACTTTACTGGATACAATTTAAAATCCTATTTCAAGATTTTTGTTCTCATACTAAGTAGTAAGGGAACTATAATAAGTTAGAAATGTCTAAGTGTATATAAGAGAAGCACTATACAAACCATTATGTAGTAAGAGAACCACAAACTTGAGATCAGCCTGAGCTTCATCAAGACTTTTTCAAAAAAAAAAAAATACAACATTAGTTAAGTGGGATAGCATGAATGAAAACACTAACTATAAAGATTATATAGAGTATTCTCTTTACTGTATTTATACTAACACTGGAAGAGTACACAGGTTAGTGTGGCCTCTACACAATGATGATACACAAATTCATGAAGTAGTCCATACTTTTCAAGATATATAAAGAACTCCAAAAAAAAAAACACATAAGTTAGGTACGGTGATGCATGCCTTTGGCCCCAGCACAGGGGAGGCCAAGGCAGGTGATTCTCTGAGTTCAAGGCCAGCCTGGTCTTCAGAGCGAGTTCCAGTACAACCAGAGCCACACAGAGAAACCCCCGCTCAAATAGCCAAAACAGTAAATAAACACCTAAAATACAATTTACCCAGTTAATAAATAATACATTGAATAAACAGTTCTCAAAAAGGAAATGCAAACAGCCAATACATGCTTTAAAAGGTCCTCAGCATCCTTAACTAGCATAGCTATGCAGAGAGTTTGGGTATAGAGTTTATTTAGTGGGTTATGGAGAAGGAAAGGAGGGGGAGAAGGTGGGAAGAGGAGGAAGGGAGAAGAGAGAGGGGCAGAAGCTGCCTCTCCAGAAGAAGGGGAGAGAGATAGAAATGGGGGGGACCGGAGAGGAGGTCGAAGGGGGAGTTGGGAGTGGGACAAGGTACACAGGAGGGAGAGAGAGAGAGACAGAGAGAGAGAGGACCTGAGAAGAGGTAGGGCTGTGGAAGAGGGAGTTGGGAATGTGGCTTGTCTCTTAAAGGGACAGGATACCAAGATGAAAGACCAGGCCAGCAGATTACAACAGCACCTTAAAAAATATTTAGAAGGAAATTATTTTAGGTTGAAAAAGCAAACACAAGCCAAGCATGGTGACACATATCTATAATTTCAGCACTCAGGAAACTGAGGCAGGAGAATCACAAATTTGAGATCAGCCTGGTCTTCATAGTAAGATAAAGTACAAAATTATATTTACATTAGATTTTCACATCAAATAAATAGTCATTATCAAAGACTAGAAAGAAAAACTGAGAAATGTTTTCTCATAGGGTAATGGGATTTTTGCCCCTCCCACCCCTTTAGAATAGCCTTTAGTGTGGTGAAATCTCTTACAGTTAATAAGAAAAGCTTTATTCCTTCTGCTGAAATGAGATGAGTTGTTGGAATGCATAGCAACCAAAGAAGTAAATTACAGGCAAATATAATTACTAAATAAAAATTAAAGTTTCCACTGGTGTGTATTCCCAGGTACAATGACATATACTGCTAGTCCCAATCTACTTAGGAAACTGAGGCAGGAAGACTGCATGTTTGACGCCAGCCTGGGCAACATAGACAGTATGAGCAACACAGGGAGGCCTTGTCAAGAAGAAGGGAAGCTGGTGTATAGAGAAAAATATATTCAAGTGAGGAAGAGGAGGAAGGAAATGTTACTACAGCCTTGCTTATAGCTGGTCTGGTGCAGGTTCTGCACAGTCCTCGGGGTTTCCAATCCTGGAGTCTGTCCTTTGTCTCCTCCTGCAAAGCAGAACTATAGATGCAAGATTTCCCAGTGCTCCTTGTCACTCCAGGTGTGCAGGGCAACGGTCCACATACGCACAGACAGCACTTCCATCCTCTGTAAGAATTGTTTCTATAACTGCACCCCATCTCTCCTCCTTCCTAAGGAGAAACCATTGACAGCCAGAACTTGGAAAAGTTCCTGGCAAACGAGGGCATCGAGCTCACCGAGGACGAGATGAAGGACCTGATGCCTTACCTGGAATTTGACGGTGAGGTTTCTGCCTGGGAGGTAGTGTCTCCTTGAAAGTGCACATTCGCAGCCAGTATAGATGATCCTCAGAAATGATCTTTTCTGTATCACCTAAAGCACTTGAGTGTGTGTGTGTGAATGACCTTCTGTCTTAGTTAGGATTGCTCCTGCTGTGACAAAACACCGTGACCGAAAGGCAAGTTGGGAGGAAATGGTTTGTTCAGCTCACACTTCCACATCACTGTTCATCGTTGAAGGAAGTCAGAACAGGAGCTCAAACAGGGTGGGAACCTAGAGGCAGGAACTGATACAGCAGCCATGGAGGCGTGCTGCTTACTGGCTTGTTCCTGTGATTGCTCAGTCTGCTTTCTTATAGCAGGACCAGGAGCCCAGGGATGGCATCACCCAGTGGTCTGGGCCCGCCCTCATCATCCACCAATTAAGAAAATGCCCTACATTCAGATCTTATGGAGGCATTTTCTCAATTAAGATTCCTTCTTTTCAGATAACTCTAGCTTGTGTGTCAAGTTGACATGAGACCAGCCAGCACATCTTGTTGAAATGCAGGCTTGGTTTCAGGTCTAGGGTGAAGCCTTGCATGTCTAACAAGCTCCAGTGTGGCACCAGTGTTCCTGGTCCATCGGCCACATCTTGACTGCTGAAGATGTAAAAAGGAAAGAGAAGAGACTATGCCTGTGATTTCCTTTTGAAATCCCCAAGTAAAACCAACAAGTCCGTGGGGGGGGGGGGGGGGGAGCACAATTCTAACCCAAAAGGGAAGTACAAAAATATGAGTGAGGCTCTGGAGAAGCAGGGTTTGGGCTGATTGATGATTTACTTTCTGAGATGCAGGTCAGTGATGGGGCACTCGCCTAGCATCGTGCCTAAGGCCCTGGGTTCGAATTCTAGCACCATCAAAATAAACAAATAAAAGCCATGTGTGGTGGTGCGCATCTTTAATCCTAGTACTCAGGAAGCAGAGGCAGGTGGATTTCTGTGAGTTCAAGGCTAGCCTGACTACAGAATGAGCTCCAGGACACCCAGGGCTACACAGAGAAAACCCTGTCTCGGAAAAACAAAATGACTATATAAATTTATTTATATTTATATAAAGCTACAGCAAAGCCAACGTGTGCTCCTCAGCCTTCTCCTCCACGGCTTCCATCCTGTTATGCTGCAAACCACTGAGCCATGATCCTCTAAAGCCGCTTTGTTCCTTTAGCTTCACCAACACTTTGTCTGGAATGTTCCCCCTCTACTCCATCCCCGTCCACGATGTACTCACGAAATCCTGCTTGACTGACCCATGCTCCTTTTGTGTTCTCTGATTCCTAGTTCACCATTCACCCCTCAACCAAACAGCACCGTTTCTTCTCTAAATTCTGATAGGATTTTGTTAGAGACAGAATATATCCCTTTTTATACTTTTTATACACTTCTGGCATCTCCCAACAGATTTAAAAGTTCTTAAAAGAAAGAGTCCAATGTCAAATGCTCAAAGGAATGAATCACAGACTTGTCCTCAAAGAGCTTTGGGTCCAGTAGAGGAGGAAGCACATAAAATAATGTGATATATAATGTGATAAATATATGCAGAGGAACATATGGCCAAGATTGAAGTTTTCTGGGGAAAGACTGGCTTACCAAGTTGCAGGGCACCTTTCCAGTCAGAGACAGACTGTGTCCTCACTATTGCAAGCACATTTGTGATGGTTCTCAAAAAAGACTTCCAGGTCACCAAAAATGAATAAAGTGTGGAGGTAGAAGAGCTAACTGGGAAAAGGAAAGGATTAGCAGAAGTTAGATGGGGAGAAAAGATTATCAGGGGTGACTAGAGCCATACATGGAAGACGATGGTATGATGGAACCCACTGTCGGGTTCTAACATTTGTAACTAATATATGCTAATAAAGGCTGGGTGGTGGCACACACCTTTAATCCCAGCCCTCGGGAAGCAGAAGCAGGCAGATCTCTCTGAGTTCGAGGCCAACCTGGTCTTTTTAAAAAGACTTGTCAGAACAAAGAGCAGGTCCTTCCCTCCTTATTGTAACATTTGAGCATATGCCAACATATTTTTCTTTATATCTACACTTTTACCTGTCTCATAGGTAACATATATATATATATTATATATATTATATACATATTATATCTATATCTGTGCTTCCCAGTGAGATGGCTCAGCCACAAGGGCGCTTGCTGCCAAGCCTGACAACCTGAGTTTGATCCCCAGAACACACATGGTGGAAGGAGAGAACCAACTCCTACAAGTTGTCCTCTGATATCCATGTGCATGCTATGGTACTCATGCATGCATACAGGCTTCTTGCATGAATGCGTGCATGTGCACACGTGCGTGCGCATGCACACACACACAAATGTTATAAAAATTAAATATATATCTATTATCATCTGTTGGGAAAAGATACGTGTAGATTTGAGGCCAGACTCTGTGGACAGTGCTGCTTCCCCACTTACGACCTGTAATTTTGAACCCCATTCCTCCAACTTTGAGAGAGGAGCGGCACTGAGGAAGGAGAACTGCGTGTCTCCTATAGAAATCATTATCAGTCTCACCAGCCTCAGCCGAGAGAAAGGCTCACCCAGATTCCAAAGCAAATGCATACAAGTTCAGCCTAGTACTTTCTGTGGGAGGCCAGGGGCGCTTGAGGTGACAGGAAATCATGTAATGGGTTGTTTTAAATAATTTCACAAATTTTGATTAACCTTACTAAGTTTTTATGTGGCTGCCTCTGTGTCTGAATCAAATGTTTTACAGGAAACGGGAAGGTTACCATCCGATCCATAATGGAGGGCCTGAGGAAGTTTAAACGTGAGTGAAAACTTACTTAAGTGCAATTTGAAATTGATAATTTGAAGGCATATATTAATTTTCATATGTGTTTTCTTGGTTGTAAAAGTTCCCCTCTGCTAGTCACCTTCAGGGCTGTACACAGCATTGACTCTTAACCTTGTCTTCCAGCCAAAGGAATGATGAATCTGCACAAGCTGTTAAGAACTGCCAGCAGCGTGAACGGTAGGTTACAGCTTTAGCTCTGCCGGATTTTCCATTCCTGTCTTGTCAGCTTGTTTCCATCCGCTAGTCAGTAAGATGCCTCTGCATTATCCTTCCAACTATTTCTCTAAGTTCCTTTGGCCGCGGTAGTCCATATTACACTGTATCACACTGCGAATCAGACATCTCAAATTGTTTTCTCGTGTATTCAGTGATTTTTTAATTACATTATGACATCTTCAGTATCACTGTATAGTTTATAATGTAGCTGGTTCTGACTCTAGTCTTAAGGGAAGCAATTCAGTTGTTTGTTGGGCTTTTGTGTCTGTACCAGTACAGCAAAAGAGGTGCATTTAGATAATGGTCTTTTTGTTCTCTTTTGGCTTCCAAATTCTAGCTTTAACTGGTAAGGGTGAGAGGACACTATTAAGGTGGAAAAGAAGGGTCCAGAATAAGAGAAAATATTTGTAAATGACATACTAATAAGGGTTGAATATCTAAAATATATAAAGAAACCTTATAATTCAATAATGAAATGTATAAATATAGGGCTTGAACTATAGCTTAGTGGTAGAGCTCTTGTCTGGCAGGTGTGAAACCCTAGGTTCACTTCCCAGTTTGCAGGCAGGACAAGCAGATACAGGCATTCTCTCTGGTAGACAGTTTCTCTCGTTCTGCTTACAGTCACCTGCTAGCCAAATACATTCAATGGAAAGTTCCAGAAACAAACAGTTCATGCAGTTTAAACTGTATGCTATTCTTAGTAATGTGATAACATTTAGCGCTGCCCCTGCCCCCACTGTGCTAAGGACAAGAACCAATCCTTTGTTCAGAATATGGACTTCATACACGTCACCCCATTAGTTGCTAATAAACCATCGCAGTTGTAACTACTGCATTGTTCTTGTGTAGTCTTCAATTTTCTTAATAATGACTCCAAAACACAAGAATAGTGATGGGGACCATCTGGCTTTGCCAAGAGAAACCAGAAAGTACTTCCGGCAAATGAGAAGATGAAAGACTTCATTCATCTCAGGGCAAGAAAACATTAGCTCCTCATTTTAACCTCTTACTGTGCTTACTTTACAAAGTAGTATTTTGCCATTGCCATGTCTGTGTAGAAAAAAGGATACTGTATAAGATTCAGTATCCTTCATGGTTTTAGGTATCCGCTGAAGATGAGACTGCTGTACCCAGTGTTTTTGAATGGCCAAAATATATGAATAGATCTTCAAGGATTATATTAAAATGACAAAGAAACAGGTGGAAAGATGTTAAACATTCTTATTCACTGAGGAAACAGAAAACAACAATAAATTATAACTTTACACCCTCTAATGTAGATGCATTAATAAAAAGAAGAAAGCCAGTCAGGGTAGCACACACCTTTAACCCCAGCACTCAGGAGACAGCAGCAGAAGGAGCTCTAAGTTAGAGGCTAACCTGGTCTACAAAATGAGTTCCAGGATGGCTAGGGCTACACAGAGAAAACCCTCTCATGAGAGAAAAATGAGAGAGAGAGAGAGAGAGAGAGAGAGAGAGAGAGAGAGAGAGAGAGAGGCATGAGCAGCAAGATGGTTCAGTGGGTAAAGGCACTTGCCACCAAGCCTGTGTTTATCCCCAGGACCCACATGCTAGAGCAAGGTGGAATGGCTCAGCAGTTAAGAGCACTGGCTGCTCTTCCGCAGGGCCGGGTTCACTCCCAGCACCCTTATGGCACAACTGTCTGTAACTCCAGTGTAGGGACTCTGAAGCCTCTTCTGGCCTCCGAGGGCATGCATGTGGTGCGCAGACATGCATGCAGTCAAAACACCCATCTACTTAAAATTAAATTAAACAAACAAATGAAGTTTGTCCTCTACCTTCCACACACCCGCTGTGGCACATGCAGGCACATATACACACACAACAAATGTAACAAAATTTTAAAGCTTTTTAAATGATAACATGGTGAAGATGCAGAGAAAATAAAGAGAATGAGGCCCTCACTAAACTGGCGAGATAATTGAGAAATTGGGCAGCTGGATTGTTACCTTTGTTGAACTAATTGAAGTATACATGCTCAAATATTACCAAAAGAAAAATATTATAATCACATATGAATGTATGCATATAACAGTGGTGGATGGAAAAGGAGGACATGAATTTCAAAGAGAACAAGGAGGGGGAAATGATGTGATTATATTATACTCTCAAAAATAAAAAAAATAAAAAATCATAATATTTAGTAGGTGGTAGAACATAGGCTACATTATTTAATATTATAATTTGCTATAAAATTGATGCTAGAAACATTTTCTTTGTTTTAAAGAATTATTTCATGTGTAAAGATGTTTTCCTGCATGTGCACCATGAGTGTGCAGTGCTCCCAGAGGCCAGAAGAGGGTGTCGGATCTCCCGTAGGACTGGAGTTACAGATGATTGTAAACCAGCATGTGGGTGCTGGGAACCAAACCCAGATCATCTGGGAGAGCAGCCAGCACTCTTAACCACTGAGCCATCTCTCCGGCCCCCTGGCGTTTTTTGTTTTTGTTTTGTTTTTTTTTTGTTTGTTTGTTTGTTTTGATCGTTTTTCAAGAATAAATTAAGCACTTGGGAGGCAGAAACAGCCAAAGCTCTCTTTGAGGTCAGCCTGGTCTACAGAATGAGTTCCAGGGCAGCCAGCGTTAAATTTAGATAGGACCCTATTAAAAATCGATGAGTAAAAGGAGTGGGTGGTGGTCCATGCGTCCATAGCAGTCAGAAGGGAAGGCAGTGCATGAAAGGGGAAACGAACCGTGGTGCTCACAGGGGTTACCATTCAGCTTTTTAGAAGAAGGAAACTGCGAGCCACGCCATGACACAGATGAAATAAGCCAGTCACTCACACACACACACACACACACACACACACACACACACACACAACTATATTATTCTACATATAGGAGATGTCTAGAGTGGTCAGGTTCACAGATGCAGAATGTAGGGTGGTCATGAGGAGTTGGAAGGAGGGCAGAGAAAGATGTTATGTAATAAACACAGTGTTAGCTGTGTAACATGAAAACATTCAGTAGCTGGTATAGTTAACAGCACTGAATCATATACTTAAGAACTGTTGATCTGGAGCAGGGGCATGGCTCTGTGGTAGACAGAGCACTTGCCAGCCTGCAGGAGACCCTGGTGTTGGTCCCTAGCACACACAAAAATAGAAGTGAGGGAGTTACTTCTGTATAACACAGATCTTACCATAATTGATTAATAACAGTCGGGAAGTTTTACTTCTGTTAGGCACCTGGCCCACACCTGCAGTCCTACACGCTTATGAGGCTGGGGTAGGAGAAATTTGAGCTCAGGAATTTGAAGCCAGCCTAGGAAAACATAATGAGGTTCTCTCTCTAAAAAAACAAAACAAAACAAAAAAAACAAAACAAAAAAACACAGTTTAGGGCTGGAGTAGTGGCTCAGTGGATAAAAGCTCATGCTGTTCTTCTGGAAGGTACTGTTTGATTGCCAGAACCCACGTGGTGGCCCGCAGCCATCTATAAATACAGTTCCAGGGAGTCCGGTGCTCCCTTCTGGCCTCGCTGAGCACTAAGCACACACACATGTATACAGACACACAGGCAGGCAAAACACCTAGACACATAAAATAATTTCTTAAGTTATTTTTAAAATAATAAAATAGGGTATGGAGAGTTGACTCCATTAGGAGCATTCATTTGTTGCAAAGGACCCAGGTTCAATTTCCAGCACCCACATGGAGGCTCACCACCTCCTTAGATACCAAGTATGTGTGTAACTGGAGACTGCTCATGTATTTCCCAGCCACCTAAACCTGAATAATCACACAGAAACTTTATTAATTACAACACTGCTCAGCCTATTAGCTCAGGCTTGTTATTAACTAACTCTTACATCTTAACCCATTTCTATTAATCTGTGTATTCCCATGAGGCTGTGGCTTGCTGGTAAGGATCCAGCGTGTCCTCCTCCTTCGGCAGCTACATGGTGTCTCCTTGACTCCACCTACTCTCTCTATATGTCTCTTCCAGCCTGGCTATATTCTGCCATGGCATAGGCTGAAGCACCTTCTTTATTAGCCAATGGTAATAAAACATATCCATAGCATGCAGAGAGGAAAACCCACATCATATGTAGTACACAGATATACATGCAGACAAAAGACTCATTCACATAAAGTAGTAAAAATAAATCTAAAAAAATAGTAAAATAAATCTTTAAAAAGAAATCAGGCCAGGCAATGATGGTGTATGCCTTTAATCCCAGCACTTGAAAGGCAGAGGCAGGCAGATCTCTGTGAGTTCAAAGCCAACCTGGTCTATAGAGCAAGTTCCAGGACAGGCTCCAAAGCTACAGAAAAACCCTGTCTCGAAATAAATAAATAAATAAATAAATAAGTAAATAAATAAATAGAAACCAAAGTTTTATGTCTTGCCAGCTCCACCTAATAGGAACTGACATTATCCCCCCATTTTAAAATAGGAAGCCATATATATGTTGAATTAATTTAGAAATTAAACCTTCCTCCTCTTTCTCTGTGTTCCTGACCAGAATAGGAGACAAGTTTGAGAAACTTGGTGAAGCTGTTATCCTCATACTGAAGCATTCAGACCTAGAACAGGGAACTAGAATCACTGCCACTGAGTAAACCTGAAACCTTTGGAGCAGTCTGAGCTTGTGTCTATCCATGGTGGATTGATTACAGGTCCTCCTGGCCCTGTGCTGGAGTGGTTGTTGTTGTTGGCTTGTTTGGGGGAGTTTTTGGTTTGGTTTGTTTGGTTTGGTTTTGGTTTTTGGAGAGGAGGCCTTACTTTGTAGCCCTGGCTGGCCTCGAACTTTCTAGGTAAACCAGACAGGCTTTGAACTAACAGAGATCTTCCTGACTCCGCCTCCCAAGTGCTGGAATTAAAGGCATGTGCCACCACTGACTTCGAGGGTTTAAAGGCTATGAGAAAAGTCAGAACATGAATGTTATGATTTCTGCTGAATTGTCTATTGGTTTTCCTTTTAGTTTTTCAAACAGAATCTGAAACTTACAGTCCTACTGCTTCAGCCTTCCAAGTACTAAGATTATAGGCACACATCACCATACCTGGCCATGTTAATTGCTCTATTTAGCTCGCTTTTCCCACTGTTAAAGAATGCAAGCGGGCTGGAGAGATGGCTCAGCAGTTAAGAGCACTCAGTGCTCTTCCAGAGAACCCGAGTTCAAGTCCCAACATCCACATCAGGTGGTTCTCAACTGCCTGTAACTCCAGCTCCAGATAACCCCATGCCTCTGGCCTCTGTGGATACCAGGCCTCATATGCATAGACACATACATATACACATAGGTCTAAATAATTAATTTTAAAATTATAAGCACGAGAATTTTTTCTCCCTTTCTAAACTTAAAAAAAAATGAAATTATTTTTAATTACTCTTCAATCAAGGGACCTGGGTAAAATACTTTTCTTAAGTAAGTTTCAGCACTAAAGAAAATATACCATATAATTTGAGGCCAAAAAATCCTTTTCTCTATGGTCTCAACAGGCTTAAATTGCTATAATTCTGTAATTCATTTCCTCATGTGCCACTGGGGTACTGAGTGAACCCCACTGAACACACAGTTGCCCTAACCCTGGGAGGAGTCCCCAGGCCATCTTCTCCCTGAGTCCAGGCCTGAGCAGTGAATGAGGTCACAGCTGTATGAGGGAACAAACCCTTTATTGGATTCTTGATCCAATAAAGCTTAGATGGTTGTTGGTTGCTAATGGTTGGTTAGTAGCACAGCTCAAAAGTAGGTAAACGTCAGAATTTTGTCTGATTCTAAGCTGAGTTCTTTAAAAAAAATATATCTGTCAACTATATAAGAGATTGGAAGTATTTTTAAGTAATGATTATTTTGCGCCGTGGGGACAATTTCCCAGCACCTTTCAAGAGCCTAAATTGTTGAGCGTCTCTGAGGCTGCCAGCTTCCTGGTAGGTTCTAGATCCTGAACACGGTGGAATGGAGTTGTTTAGAAACAGCTGCCCTCTGGGTTCTGAGGCAGTGACCTGGGAGGAAGGAATTCTAACCAAACATTCTGGAACTTTTTTTCCTGATTTAACAGTACTTGCTGATTCATCATTCCCAAGCTAGCAAGCAGCCCTGTCTGCTTGTCAGCGAGCTTCCTGCTATACACTAGAGTTGGGAAAGCTAACAGGAGTGATAAAAACCCAAAGGGGACGACTGCCTCCCAGCCCCTGGTCTCCAGGCCGTTTCTCCAGCGATGCAGAAGAAAGGGAGGACTAGGAGAGCCATAGTATCCAAAGAGTCTGTGCAAGAGCCTATCGTCTCTGCTCTTATAAGAAAGCAGTGGACAGGGATGTGGGTCGTGGAAGGAAAGCCTCAGAAAATATATTCACTACGTGGTAGGTGTTCTAAGACTGAAATAAGCAGGAAGGCTTTAACGCTTTCTTCTTTGTCAGTTGTGGCAGGAAATATTTCAGATTAAATTTTGTCCTTAATTTTTCCTATATATTTTTACGTGCTTTGTATCATATACTATTTTTTTAAGTAGTTAAGGTATATAATTTGATGATTTGTTATGTGTATACAATGTAAAATAATTTCTGCAATCAAACAAACATATGAGTCACCATAGTTATTATGGAGCAGAAGCACCCAGGCGAATTTTGAAACTCTGTAAACTGGTTCTACCTAGTCACGGTGTTATCTGTTGGGGTGGTTTTTGCTCTTTAGGCTTTTTGGAGAGCCAGCCACACAGCTCCCAAATAAATCACACATGGGGGCATGTTCTTACTTATGAATGCTCTGCCTTAGCGTGGCTCATTTCTAGCCAGCTTTTCTTATCTAATTGTCCTGACTACCTTTGCCTCTGGGCTTTTATCTTTCTCTATTTCTGTGTTCTTTACTTCTTATTCCGTGACTGGCTGGGTGGCCGGCTGGCTGGGAGGCTGGGGGGCTGGGAGGCTGACCCCTAATGTCCTCCTCTCCTTATTCTCTCGTTGCTCCTCATTCTCATTCTCAATTCTCCTTCTATTTACTCTCTGCCTGCCAGTCCTGCCTGTCCTTGCTTCTGCCTCGCTGTTGGTCGTTCATCTCTTTATTAGACCATCAAGTGTTTTAGGCAAAAAAAAAAAAACAAATCACAGCTTCACAGAGTTAAGCAAATGCAGGGTTAACAAAAGTCACACCAGGCGGTGGTGGCGCACGCCTTTAGTCCCAGCTCTTGGAGGCAGAGGCAGAGACAGGTGGATCTCTGGGAGTTCAAGGCCAGCCTGGTCTACAAGAGCTAGTTCTGGGACAGATACCAAAGCTATAGAGAAACCTTGTCTCAAAAAAAAAAAGTCAGACACCTGAGAATAATATTGCCCAGCAGTTAGCTTTAGATCTTCACAAGCTATTCATCTGGTACACTGAGGATCTGTGCTCCTTACCAAGCCTCTTCCTACACGCCCCCTTCCCACCATTCTGTGCTTCTGTGGGTTTGACTATTTTGGATTCTATGTGCAAGTGAGAAAATATTTCTCTTTGTGTGCCTGACTTATTTTGCTTAGCATTTATTTAGGTTTTTTAAGACTTACGATTTTTACTTTTGTGTATACATACATACAGATGCCCGTGCAGGCCAGAAGAGGGTTCTGAATCCTTTGGGACTGGACTATACAGATGGTTGTGAGCAGCCCTGTGGGTGCAGGGAATCTGAGTCCTCTGCCAAGAGCAGTAAAAGCTCTTAACCACAGAGCCATCTCTCCAGCCCCAATGTTTATTTTTATATAAGATTAAAGAGACATTATTTGAAAGGAAGAACTGTGACAAATTTTGCTTATAGATCTTACCACAGCCCTCCAATTTCACATGCAATGCTAGCTTGGATTTGGATACGATGCCATGCTTTGAAATCCTAGACTTTTTAACCCCAGGCTTTGCTCGGGAAAGCTGGGAAAGAATACAAAGAAACAATTGTATTAGTAGAGATGGTGGCACCTGCCTACAGATCTAATGCTGGGAAGGTTCAGGCAGGAAGGGGGAAAAGGAATAAATGGATGAATGGATGGATGGATGAATGGATGGATGGATGGATGGATGGACGGACGGATGGAGATTCTGTGGATTCATCCTTTCCTATATCTTCTGAATTCCAGAAAGAGTCTCTGGCCCCATGGCAGTTTCAGGAATTAAATCAACACTGAAGCTGAAGCCCCTCAAAGCACCCGCCTTTCACAAAAGGTAGGTAATAAAATATGAGGAGATTACGCAAAGTGTTCAGGTAATGACTATACAGATCACATACAGACTACGCTAAGAAAAATTAGAATATTCTATTTTGTGGTGAAGTTCCTTAGAACATCTAAATTAAGGACATGTTTCTATTGTATTTATTTTGTATGTGTGCTCACATGCACACACCACAGCATGTATACAGAGATCAGAGGGCAGCTTGCAGGAGTCAGCTCTCCCTATCCACTCCATGGGTCCCAGGAATCGAACTCAGATCCTCGGACTTGGCAGCAAGCACCTTCCCACTGAACCATTCTGTTGGCTTATGGGAAGATTTTTTTTTTTGATTTTTCGAGACAGGGTTTCTCTGTAGTTTTTTTGGTTCCTGTCCTAGAACTAGCTCTTGTAGACCAGGCTGGCCTCGAACTCACAGAGATCCGCCTGCCTCTGCCTCCCTAGTGCTGGGATTAAAGGCATGCGCCACCACCGCCCGGCTTATGGGAATATTTTTTAATAGAAAAAAATGAACATTCTTTTTGTCTAGAAAAGCAGAATTCTCCTTCCCGTTCTCCCAAAGGAAGTCCAGTGAATTAGCCATGCACAGCCCCACTAGGATACGAGGGAGATTCTCCTGCCAGTAGCAATGCTTTTTCTCAGTCAGCTGCCAACAGAGTCTAGCAGACAGGCACTGATGGCTGAAAGTGAGAACCCAAGATACATTCTGTTACACAGCAGAAGGTGAAACACCCCTCTCTGACTCTTGGCCGCTTGGAGGGTGTTCTCGGCTTTATCACTGCTAAAGCAATATACTTCTGACATTTTTTTTTTTTTATTTTTCGAGACAGGGTTTCTCCGTAGCTTTTGGTTCCTGTCCTGGAACTAGCTCTTGTAGACCAGGCTGGCCTCGAACTCACAGAGATCCGCCTGCCTCTGCCTCCCGAGTGCTGGGATTAAAGGCGTGCGCCGCCACCGCCCGGCTACTTCTGACATTTTTAAAGAAAGAAGTAGGAAAAGCAACCTCATAGCAGTCAAACCCCTATCTTCACTAAGACCACAGGCCATGGTAATCCCCACACTAGGTAAGAGGCAGGGGTGGGTTTGTTTCAAATATGAAGTTACCATGCTCCTTTGAAACATTATAAAATAGACTATTTGAAATGGTTCCTTTGGGGTTTTTTGCTTTTTCTTTTTTCTTTTTTTTTTTTCCCCCATTTTTCTTCCTCGTTTTCAAGACAGGTTTCTCTGTAGACCAGGCTGGTCTTGAACACACAGAGATGTGCCTGCATCTGCCTCCTGAGTGCTGGGATTAAAGCCGTGTGACACTACCACCTGGGTCCATGGGTAATTTTTACTTGTAATTAACAAAAGCCTTTGTCTACCTTGCCTTCTGCTTTACTTGGGGTTTTGAGGACATCATGTTTCTGTGTCTGCTTACATCTTTTACTTCATACAAAAATAAGCTGTTTTTCTGTGGAAATGCAGCACATACATAGTAACCAGGGTGGGAGCAGACCTTAGTAGATAAACAGGGAACACAAAAGAAAGAAATCATGTTAGTAAAAGCTGGGAAAATACAAGTTAGGTACAATTTCATGCCTAAAAGTTGAGAACAGGACATCTTAAGACCCCATCACATCCTTCTATCCCAGGCTACTCTGACATCAGTGAGATCTAGTGCCCTGGAGGGTAGAAAAGTAAACCACAAAAACTGGGACTGGAGAGATGGCTAAGTTAAGAACACTGGCTGCTCTTCCTGAGGACCTGGGTTCAGTTCCCAGCAGCAATATGGAGGCTTGATGCCCCTTCTGGTCTCTTTGGGTACCAAGCATGCATATGGTGCACATACATACCTGCAGGCAAGCAAGACACTAATATATAAAAGATTTGTAGAATAAATCTTTGTCAATATTTTTAAAAAAAATAAAACCACAAAAGTAAGAGATTCCTTATTCTTAAAACCTTGTTAGCCAGGCGGTGGTGGCGCATGCCTTTATTCCTAGCACTCAGGAGGCAGAGGCAGGTGAATTCTAAAATAATTCTAAAATTATTTTAAAGTAAATTTATAGGAGCTAGGTGTAACAGGACAAGCCTATAATCCCAGTTGGCAAAAGATGGAGGCAGGAGAATCAGGAGTTCAAGGCATCCTTGGCAACACAGTGAGTTTGAGCTCCTCCTAGGCTACATGGGCTCCTGTCTCAAAAAGTTTATGATTATTTAATTTGCTATTAAATTATACTTAATTAAAAATAATTACATTTCATTTGTCATAGCATAAGCAAAGCTAGGTGTGTGTGTGTGTGTGTGTGTGTGTGTGTGTGTGTGTGTGTATTCATAAATTATTGCAGATTTACACAAAGCATTTTGGAATATTAGTATTTTCCCTCCTTTTCAGATTCTACTTTACTGAGAATGTAAAATGTTACCCAGAGTTCCAAACTTTCCAGAAGCATCTTGTCTCTGCTTTATCATTCCTTAATGTCTCTCAGTATACTAAACATACATGTTGGCAATTAAAGTTATAATGGTAGATGCAGAAGTTTCTCTACAAAGGTAGTCAGCACATTATTTTCCAAATTAACCTTTGAATCAAGTTTCTAGCAATGGCGATCGCTTAAGGTTACAGCCTTGGACTTTGCTATCAGAATCTCATCTCTCTTACCTGTGTGACTTTGGACAAGCCAGATGCCTGTTTTGTACAATGAGGGAAATCAAGTAGCTTTGTTCTGTTTTTAAGAGAGGTAAGGGCAGCTGGAAATCTCGGGTGGGCTGCAGTTGTCCCCAGCTTCCCGGCCTTTCTGACAGATTAGCCAGTCTGCTTCAGCACTGTGAGTCTGGGCAAACAGTAATGTTCGTCACCGTTAGCGTCAGCAAAACTCAGAGGCTTCACTCCTGTGTTAAACCTGCTGTTTCTCTTGTTTCTTCTCAGAGATAAAGATTTACGAGGAGCTCTTCCAAGTCATTTACAGCATAAAGATACGAAGCTGAGCTCTTCACAACTGGAAGGTGATGAAAATCATCCTAAATGTTAGAGCCCAACAACAGCCAGGGCCATGGTGGCGCCTATGAAAAGCATCCTAAATGTTAGAACCCAACAACAGCCAGGGCCGTGGTGGTGCCTATGAAAATCATCCTAAATGTTAGAACCCAACAACAGCCAGGGCCATGGTGACACACACCTTTAATCCCAGCACTCAGGAGGCAGAGGCAGGCGGATCTCTGTGAGCTTAAGGCTAGCCTGGTCTACAGAGTGAGTTCCAGGACAGAGGATCTTACTCTAATAGCTAAGACTAGCCTGCTCAGTGTGTAGCCCTGGCTGGTCTAGAACTCATAGCAGTCCTGCTTCAGCCTCCCAAGTGCTAGGATAGAAGGGAAGCGCCACTGCATCCAGCTAGCTCCCATAGGATTGTTCTCTGATGCACATGTGAGATTTCAAGGAGAATCTGTATTCCTATCGTTCAAGAAAGGGGAAGTAGAGGTGAGAAATAAAATTTTAACCAGGCGTGATGGTGCACATGGATAACTTAGGAAGCTGGTACTTAGTTCAGAGTCAGCCTACTGTACCTCCCAAGGCCCTATCTAAAAATAAAAAATAAACCATTTGCTGGATTGAAGGATAACTTTCAAATTGACATCTCTCAAGAATTGAAACAGGTTTGGTCAAATATTATTTAATTTATTTATTTTTTGGTTTTTCAAGACAGGGTTTCTCTGTGTATTGTTCTGGCCATCCTGGAACTCACAGAGATCCACCTGCCTCTGCCTCCTGGATGCTGGGATCAAAGGTATGTGCCACGACCACTCAACTAGATCAAATATTCTTATCCAGATAACTTGGAAGTGTGGCAAACAGCAAATTCAAGGTCACATATTAGTCAGCTACTTGAAGAGTATAAATACAATGTGCCAGGACTGGCCAGTGTGGTGACAAGTGTCTGTAATCCCAGCATTAGGGAGGCCTCTAGAGGCAAGAGGACCACAAGTTTAAGGACAGCCAGGTCTACATAGTGTACAAGCCAGTTTTGTTCTCGAAGGACCAAATTAAATTAAAATGGAAATAAAATACCAAGATTTCTTTGAGGCAAAAAATAATGATGAAATTTGATACACTGTCTATAGATCATTGGTCCAAACAGAAGACAGATATTTAAGCCAACAGTGTTCCAGGCATAAGAACATCAGACATGTCCCTGCCCTGGATGACTCAAGGCGTGAGAGAAGTACGGAGTGCTAGGGGATTTGGTCTTCTGAGGTAAAGAAGGGAGCCTAGTGAGAGTGGAATAACGAATAAGCTAGGGAAGGATCAGAAGGTGAGGGTGTCTGCTATGGAAGCCTGAGGAGCTGAATTCAGATGGCAGGGCCGATGGGCAGAGAGAAGAGGAGCCGGCCAGCCCCCAGGGGCCTGCTGGCCAGACACGGAGGAAGTAGGAAAGTAGGATGGACGACAAACACGGCAACACGTACATTAGTAGAAATGGGTTAGTTTAAGTTAAAGGAAAAAAAATAGCTAGAAACAAGCCAAGCTAAGGCTGAGCATTCATAATTATTAATAAGTCCCAGGTCATGATTTGGAGGCTAGCGGTCCAGGAAAGCCTGCTATAGCCTGTCTCAAAGGATAAGGTGGAATGTGATAGAGCAGGACGCCTGGGCTCCACGCTCAGAGTGAGCATACCCACACATACACATGTGCATACACCACACACACACACACAAGAAGAAGAGGAAGAGGAAACGGAGAGAAGAGAAGCACCTTCGCCTACTGAAGACCTGAGTTCCTTCTCCAGGTCCCACATAGTAGAAGGGGAGAACTGACTCCTGCAAGTTGTCCCGGGGCCTCCGTGTGCATGAAATGTCGCATACATACATACACACACATGCATGCATACACAGTCCCTCTCTTCCACTACTTCTTTGAGCAATTTGAGAACAAAAGAAAACATATTATGATATGTTTACCCAAAATCTAAAATAAACATCTATGAGTCTATACTGATAGAAATAAATAATGAAAGTAGGACTCTAGGTCAGTGGTAGAGCAGTTGCCTGGCATGTGAGAGGGCCTAGGTTCAACCCCCAGAATTATAAAAAGAGTGGAAATTAAAAAATAATTATTTAACACAGGTAGAGACCAATAACCAAGAAATGGCAATAAAAGGGAAAATAGATTATATATTTATATATACATATATATTTGCTTTACTTTGTTTTCTTGATGTACAGGGTCTGATGTAGCACAGTCTAGTCTCAAACTCACTGTGCAGTCAAGACTAGCCTTGAACACCTAATCTTCCTGCCCCTGCCCTTGAGTGCTTGGGTTATAGGCAGGCACCACTATGCCTGGCTCTGCCCTTGAGTGCTTGGGTTACAGGCAGGCACCACTATGCCTGGCTCTGCATTTTTTTTCTACCAATTACTACTCATTCCACTTGGTTCTACCATTTCTGTTTGATGCTCGTTCAAATCCCAAGAAAAGACAGCATTCTGTCTCTTTAAAAATCTATTATTCGTCTTCCTTTCTCTCTCCACGTGTTACAGATCACAATCTTCACCTGGCTAAACAACATCTCCTGTCCTGTTAGCACACACATCTCTCCCTCCCCTTCCCCACTCCTATAGCCAAGGCTGACCTAGACATCACTGTTTAGCCTAAGCGGGCCTTGAATCATCAATATTCCCACCACAGCTTCCAAGTGCTGGGGTTAGAGACAGAAGTTACCATATCTGACCGTGTCTATTCTTAAATAATTGTCCTAGAGGGGCTGGAGAGATGGCTCCGAGGTTAAGAGCATTGCCTGCTCTTCCAAAGGTCCTGAGTTCAATTCCCAGCAACCACATGGTGGCTCACAACCATCTTTAATGAGGTCTGGTGCCCTCTTCTGGCCTTCAGGCATACACACAGACAGAATATTGTATACATAATAAATAAATATTTTTAAAAAATTGTCCTAATATATACCCACTTCCTCAGCCTTCCGAAATGCTTACAACTTCTTCACCAAGGATAAGACTGGCAGTATCGATTCACATGGATTGATGAGCACCTTAGCCAAACTCGGGATGAATCTAAACACATATGATATCTACAATGAATTAAAATGTGCTGATCTTGACAGTGAGTATTTTGACCTATTATTTTCCCATAATATACTTTTTGTGTATATCTGTGTTATCATTTATCCTATAAGTGCAAGGAATACCTCTTCCTTATCTACCAAAAGTATACTTCTAAACAAAGGTAAGGTTATCTTCCATGACCTACATCTCACTTCCTGTGGTTTCAAATAACTGGGTCAATTGTAGTCCAAAAATATTAGTATTTTTCTGAATGCTTTCAAGAGAAAAAGACCACAGTAATGTAACTTTTTACAATAGTATACTGTGGAGCTTGGACGTGTTGGCGCACACCTTTAATCCTAGCACTCAGAAGGCAGAGACAGGAGGATCTCTATGAGTTCCAGGCCAGCCTGTTCTACATAGTGAGTCCCAGGACAGCCAGGACTACATAAAGAGACCCTGTCTCAAACATGCACGCGCACACACACACACACACACACACACACACAGAGTATATGGTTTTAATTATTTTATTATTGCCAATTCCTAATCTATCAGATAAATTTTATTGCAAATATGTATATGTGATAAAGCATAGGATATGCAGGGATAGGAATGGTCCACAAACCAACCAAAACAAAACCAAAAAGCTCTCTCTGTTACATCAAGACATCCTCTAAAGTGAGTATCGTAACAAAGACTTGAACTTGGTATTGAGATGGGACGGTCACTCAGTTTCCACACAGGAATTTTCTTTAAAAATTAGGGTTTTTCCTAGCTCGTACATACACCCCATTGATATATTTAGAGAGAAACACAAACTTACTGCCTATTGTCCTGCCAAAGGTTAGGATTGTAGGCATGAGCCGCCATACTCAGGTCTAACCAAGGCCTTAAGACTTGGAGGCTTTGAAATGTAACGTCTCTGTCCCCCATGGACAAGAAACTACCACTATATTTGTATGTGTTTCTCTTTAAGGATATCAGTGGGGCACATGTATGAGCTTAAAAAAAAATGGAAAGTGCCTGTGTGGAACCTAAGAGTGACTGTCCCTTAGCCTGCTCTTTCCCAAACTGAAGTCTTTGTCATGATGCTCACTTTAGAGAATGTCTTGAAGTAACTGAGAGATGCGAAGTCATAAAATCCAAGCCCACCATTTCCATCTGAACCATAATATGAATCTCTCTTGTGTCCTGAGAGCCCACTGACGTTTAAATGCCAGAGAAATTTTGATAGTATTTTAAAGTATACAAGTCATGGGATTTGTTTTCCTCTTTGGGACTTTTTTTTTTTTTTTGGATTTTTTGAGACAGGGTTTCTCCGTAGCTTTTGGTTCCTGTCCTGGAACTAGCTCTTGTAGACCAGGCTGGCCTCGAACTCACAGAGATCCGCCTGCCTCTGCCTCCCGAGTGCTGGGATTAAAGGCATGCGCCACCACTGCCCGGCTCTTTGGGATTTTTTATTGTTGGTATTTGGTTTGGTTTTTTGAAGCAGGGTCTTTATATATTCCAAGCTGACCTCTAACTTGCTATGTAGCTGAGGGTGGCTTTGAACCACTGATGCTTCTGCCTCCCCCTCTCAAGTGCTACGGCCTGTGCCTGGAGTCCAGCCTAACATATTGTGTGGAAAATATTTGCAGCGTACTATTTTCTCTGGCTCCTCATCAGCCAGGGGCCAAGGAATCAAGGTCACCAGATAATTAGAGCTATCACTTCTTTCCACTAGCTCTGCCCAGTTGTTCTAGTCCCTCAAGTGCCTGCACATCCTCTAATCGTACTTCCCGTCTTTTTGTTTGTGTTTGGTTTTCATTTTTGCTTTTTGTTTCTTGAGATAGGGTTTCTCTGTGTAGCCCTGACTGTCCTGGAACTCACTCTGTAGACCAGGCTGGCCTTAAACTAACAGAGATCCGCCTGCCTCTGCCTCCTGGATGCTGGGACTAAAGGCGAGCTCTGTCTCTGCTTGGCAACTGTCTTAACTTTAGAGGCAGTGGGGTACGAGAGGGACATGTAGAGATTCCTCATGAAGTGACACTCTCTGGCAAAGGACAGCAGTAGCTAACAGCTTTTACTGGATGCTTACACCTTGCCATAGTTTCTGTTGGCTACAGCAGACTGGTGTAAATATAGATCAGGTCATAAAGACTGAAGTAAATACAAGGGTTTTAAGTTCAAGACCAGCATGGGCTACATAGGGAGGCACTACCAAAAATAATCTCTTTGAGGAGGGAAAGGAAACCAAGGTTTACCTTAGCCTCTTTTCAGCCCTGAATATGCTGATTTTAAGTGTAAAGTGGCTCAGACTACTTTAGCTTTTATACTTCACATTCAATAAATAATTAAAATACATCCCAGCTGGGTGTGGTAGCAGACACCTGTAATCTCAGCAAACTGCAGGCTGAGGCCGAGGGATTGCAAATGTGAAGCCAGTTCTAGGTAAAACCAGTGTGTGTACTCTCTCGCGCGCTCTTTCTCTCCTTTATATACAAATTGTGCATTTATATAAGCTTTTAGCAATATGTTCTTAGCTGAGATTCCTGTTGCAGGAGACGGTAAGATCAGCTTCTCAGACTTTGTAGGGGTGCTGACAGATAAGAAACTCTTCCTCAAGGCTGTGGGTGAGTAGATGTCTCTGGGGAACCCTGCCCACTACACAGAAAACACGACCCCTGAGGTCTACAGTTAGGAGACATCTAGGATGCAATTCTAGTCTAGGATATGATTCTTGTTTTCCCTACAAAATAATGTCAAACAGACTGATACCATCAGAATTGCAACTTACATACATCGAGCAGCTACTGGCCTCCTGCAGGAGAGATGTTGCTTTTGTCTCTAATGAGAACACTAAGGAAGTAGCAGGTGCAGAAAGTTTAGCCTTCCTTTTATTTTAATTTATTTTTATTTTTATGTGTGTGGGTATCTTGCCTTGTATGTCTGTATCAGATCATCTGGAACTAGAATTGCAGATGGTTGTTAACAGCTAGGTGGGTGCTAGGAATCTAACCCAGGTCCTTTGGAAGAGTAGTCAGTGTTCTTAACCACTGAGCCATCTCTCCAGCCCCCTATTTTCCCTTTATAGTTTTTAGTTCTTACCCAAGCACATGCACTACTTCCGAAAGCACTCCTTTTTTAAAAAAAAAAAAATAATATTTTTTAGAGCTTGGGTAGCTTACTGTCTCTACACCCTGATGAAGCCTCCGCTCTCAGTTAGAGGCCGGGGTTAGAGAGCATGTGCTCACCTGTGGCCATCGATCTGCTCAGACTGGAAGCTGCCTTCAGTCTCTCATGCTCTGTTTCCCGACCTAACAGGCTGCCTTGGAAAATCCAACCACTCTTCATACCGCATGCTCTAGGATTCCAGATTCCAAACCCCACAAGTAGTTTGAAAACATACCCAAACTTAAGCCACAGCCTGTCCCTAAGATAGAGAAAAATTGGTGCTCTCAAAAATTGTGACAAATGAGAGTTCCTCTGCAACCTAGAGGTAGTTATTAATTCCCTTTCATAGAAGAACAAGACAATTCTACTTAACATATTACACGTGCAGATGTTAAAAGTACTGCCGTATTTTCTTAGTCGTCATTGAACTATGATTGTTCTGTCTACTCAGTAATCAAAATGACCTTTCTCTAAATAGAACATTTTTAATGTTTTGCCATATTTCTAGTCTCTGATTTAATATTGCCACAAATTCTCGGTAAATTTTTAATAGCTGTTTTTCTCAGAAGACATTTTGAAATTTCTCTTTTCTGTTTCCTCTATAGTTCCCGAAAAGAAACTGTGTTTGGATTTAGCTAACAACCCCGGGATCTTATTATTTGAAATCCTATCAAAACTTGTAGAGACTTCATCCCTGCACAGAAAGGATGTAATAGAGCTAGTAAGGTAAGTGGCCACAGGACAGGTGAAGGCAGCTTACCGAGGATGCCTCACCAGCGTTCTACTCCACAGAGCTCAATCTGAAACCCAAGAAAGGATCGGGGCAAAGGGCTGATAATATCACAACACTCTCTCCTGGTTCTGAAATCATAAGACTGCACTTACACTATGCTGAAGCTCCACATGGGCATAAAACATACGAAAATAAGCTTCAGCCGCCCCGAGACAGAGCTGCTGGTGCACAAGCTAGCCTTTGTCTTCCCTTCTCCTTCCTTTCCTCGCCTACAAAGTGCAGGCGCTAACAACACCCGCGTGAAGGGCACCTGTGGGACGCAGAGTGGCACAGGCGCAGCACTCAGCGCGTCATCCAGCACAGTGCTACTCCTTATTCTGTGGAACAAGTACAATAAAGAGGGCATGCATGTTACTTAATAGGGTCCTCCCTAAAAGAGTGCACACAATCACCTGCATTTTGCAAACAAAAAATCCGGAAAGCAGATCAAATGCTTGCCCGAGAGTGGTGTGCTGATGTTAGCACAGTGTCGTGTGCTCATGGCCTCTTGCACTCCTACTAAGTGGGCAGGACACCTTCACTATCGCTGCTGTTGTTACTGAAAGTGAATTGTAGTTTTTGTTTATTTGGTTATCTTTTGAGGTTGCTCTTTACCTACTGAAAAATTTCCAAATTCTGGAAAATAGAGACCCAAGATCCAGGAAGCTGTTAAGACCCTTCCTAGATACAGTGGGGGAAATAATAATCTCCAGGGCATGAAAATACAAGATGACTAGGCAAAGTGGCACACGTCTTTAGCCCAGCACACAGGAGGCAGAGGCAGGTAGATCTCTGAGTTCAAAACTAGCCTGGTCTACATAGCAAGTTCCAGGACAGCCAGGCCGACACAGTGAGACCCCATCTCTAAAATAAATAAACATATCAAAAAAATAAGTATAAGACAAAGGAAAATTCTAAAGAAAAACAAAAACAAACAAAAGAATCAAGCTATGAAGAAAGTCCTATTACAGTAGTGGCAGACTTCTCTCCAGAAATCTTACAAGCCAAGAGAGAATGGAATGATTTGTTCAAAACGTTAAAAGAGAATACTCAACAATCAGGAATTCTACACCTAGCAAAGCTGCCCTTCAGAAATTAAACAGAAAGAAAGGCTTCCCAAGACAAACACTGCAAGAATGCTTTGGGACCCACATGGGTAGAAGGAAATAGCTCCTGCAAGTTGACCTCTGACCTACACACATAAGCACACCAGAGTACACGAGTGCACATGTATACAAATGCATGCACACACACACATTAAATTAATAAATGTGCCGGGTGGTGGTGGTACACACCTTTAATCACAGCACTTGGAAGGCAGAGGCCAGCCTAATCTACAGAGTGTTCCAGAACAGCCAGTGCTGTTACACAGAGAAACCTGTCTCAAAAAAAAAACACACACACACACACACACAAATGTAGCAATGTCAAAAATTATGAAAAGAGACCAAGATGGTCCTTATAGAAATGATGAAGGAATCAGTTTAGCCAAAGGAAATAACAGCTGAGGCTGAAGCTCAGCGTATAGAGTACTTGGCTGGCATGTGGAAAGTCACAAGCTCAGTCTCCGCACTGGAAAAGCTGGTCATTAACGTTCTAAAAAAACTTATAAGAATAGAGATAGCTGTGTAGCTGAATAGTAGAATGCTAACCTAACGTGCACAGCCACCTGGGTTTGATCCCAGACCATAGGCAGGTATAGTGCTCGTGCTGTGATCCCATCACACTGGAATCTGAAGCAGAAGGGACACCATGAGTTCAATGCCAGCCTGGGCTACAAAGTGAGATCCTGCCTCAAAAAAGAAGAAAACTGCATTTCAAAACCCAATACAGAGCTGGAGAGATGGCTCAGAGGTTAAGAGCACTGGCTGCTCTTCCAGAGGTCCTGAGTTCAATTCCCAGCAACCACATGGTGGCTCACAACCATCTATGATGAGATCTGGTGTCCTCTTCTGGCCTGCAGGCATACATGCAGGCAGAACACTGTATACAGAATAAGTAAATAAATCTTCAAAACAATAAAACCCAATACAAAGTACTACAGTATATGGCACCTTCTTCAGCAGTGTGGCTACTAGTAAGGAGCCCATGCGCTTGTAAATAATCCTTCACCCAAGACCCTGTAAGCAGCCCCCAAAATACACATTGAGTTTTCAAGCCAGAAAGAAAGAAGAAGGTAAGAATGGGGGGGGGGGGGAGAAAATGAGAATACAAAGGAAGAAGGAAGATAGAGAGGAAGGGAAGGAGTGGGGAGAGAGAGCAAGAATGAGAATACAAAGCATGACAAGAGAGACTGAAGTGGAAAGAGAGAGTAGCTGGGATACAGGAGAGGACAATGAAGTGAATGTAAGAGAAATATATAATGTACAAAAATGCCATAATGAAACCATTACTATTATGTATGATAAACATATGCTAATAAGCCTTAAATAGATTTAAAATAAATATTAATCAACTTCTGTAACTTGTAGTGGTTTTTTTTTGTCCTAACAATTCTTTATTCCATTTCTGAATTACCTGTGTTTTCTCTTTAAGCTATTTCCGAAAAAAATTCCAGGAAAGCCACTCTGAAATGCCATGGAGTCCGTATGGGAGAAGGGGCTTTAGGCCAGATATATGCACTCCTCCGCGCTCAAGCACTGCTGCCTTTGCCAATTCTGCCAAGATCTCGATAATGAAAGAAAAGGATTTGTATAAGTTTCTTGAAGTACTCAAGCGTAAGTGCCATTTTCCCTCTCCACTGTGATAGAGCGACTTCCAGGCAGCTGGTCAGAAATAGACACCAGAGGCCAAGAACAGGGCCGGGGCTCTTGGAGTAGCTGCTCTCTGTCACACAGGCTTGGAAGCAGAAGTCCTCAGCCCTCAGACACCTGAGTGAAGTCTGAAGGATGGGTGTGCGGTGGGAACATGAGACTCAGGCAGAGGAGCCGGGGCCACAAGGGGAGCAGATGGAAGTGCACTGGGCTCTGCATGCTTGTCATTCAGGGAACTTTTTACGTCATGTATAATGCCGTTTTTGGTTTTGTCTTTTTAGGGTGTGATCTCCCTACAGGTAGCCCGTACTCAAAAATACCTGTCTTTCCGTTGTTCCCTGATGTGGACGGGGTGGTGATGGGAAAGCCATTCAAAGACATACAGAAGCTAGAGATGCTGAGGAAAAAGGAACCTCTGAGTTTCTTCGAGGACTATTTTTTCCATAAAAGAGATTGGAAAGCACAGGTGGGTTTAATCTGTCATACTAGCTAATTTAAATACTCCATCTCTAAGAACCTAACTCAAGGCTAAAAGCATGTTTTCTTTACAGATAATGTGCAGTGTCTTGGGAGGTTGTAGCTATTGTTTTGAGATGTTGGTTTGGTTTGGGGTTGGGATTTTTAGAGACAAGGTCCATTGTACCCTGACTGACTCAAATTTCTAAGGAGCCAACAGTAAATTATCTATTAAATATATACTTTAGAGGCTGGAGAGGTGATTCTGTGGTTAAGAGCACTTACTGTTCTGCCATACTCTTTGTTTGTTTGTTTGGTTGGTTGGTTTGGTTTTTTGACACCAGGTTTTTCTGTATAACAGACCTGATTTCCTGGAACTCACTCTGTAGATCAGGCTGGCCTCAAACTCACAGAGATCTGCCTGCCTCTGCCTGCTGAGTGCTGGAATTAAAGGTCATACTCATTTCTTAATACTACTCTTACAAAGGACCTGACTTTGGTTCCCAGTACCTACATACATCAAGTGACTCATAGCTGTAATTCCAGCTCCAGAGGATCTGATGCCTCTGAACTCCACAGACATCTACACTCAAGTGTACATAACCACACACACACAATTAAACATAATTTTAAAAAATATATCTTAATAACATACCAACCAGTACCCTGTCCCCCTCCCTAATTTTTCCATAACATATATTGGTATCTATTTTTATACCTCAGATATCATATTTACATTTATTGTATATAAAGATATATTACATTATCATTTATGCATACGATATCATATGTACATTTATAAATAGGATAATGTACCATATTTAATGTTGATCTATATTAATACATAGTGTGTATAGCTGTGGAGATGGCTCAGCGAGCCAAGGGCCGCACAAGCATGAGGACCTGAGTCCAGGTCCCCGACACCCATGTGAAAGATGTCCTGGGGCACATTTCTACAACCACATGCTGAGACAAGCAGACCCTGGGACCAGCCTGTCTAGCCGAAAACTCTAGTGAGAGAGCCTGTCTTAAAACACACAGTGATATCCAAAAATGTCCTCAAAAGCAAGCAAAATGCCCATGCTTCAAAAAGCAAGACAACCAGACAGATCTTTACAAGTTCAATCTGGTCTACCTAGTGAGACCCTCTCTTTCTCAAGAGAGAACTTAAAGCCCTAACACCAAGCTTATAAAATGACAGAGAGACAGGAAGGTCACATGGAGGTGCTTAGACCTGATGGCTAGGGACAGGGTTTAGCCTGACAATTCAGGATGAAATGTGGATGCCTAGAACTAAATCTAAAATAATAAGATTTAGATTTAATTTTAAATTTAAAACCTCTGGAAAAAATCAGAATCTGTGAGAGGAAAGGTACTGCTTGGTACAAGGCTCAAGTTCACCTGCTGGGAGCCCTCAGTGGAGAAGAAGGTCTCCTTTGGGAATGTGAAACCTGAGATTTGAGAAAACCTGGGACTCACAGTTCCCATACTGGATACAGTCTCCAAACTGTGCACTTACCCTAAAAATCAGTTCAAGCTTAGAAAAATCTACAAGACACAAATATAAACATATTCAAATCCTGAGCCACTCATTTCACACCATAAAAACAAAACAAAACCCCTTTGAGAGCTGGCAAGACTGCCTCTCAAACTTGCACAAACTTGCCACCCTGAGCTTGGTTCCCAGAACCCATGTAAAGATGGAGAGAACTATGCCATGCACAGACACACAGACACACAGATGTTGGTGGAAGTTTATGTCCCCTCCACCAGCTCCTTAGTAACTGATACAGAGACTTAATATTAATTACAAATGCTCAGCCTATAGCTCAGGCTTATTACTGACTAGCTCTTACAATTTAACCCATTTCTATTCATCTATGTACTGCCCTGAGGCTCGTGGCTTTTACCTCTATCCCATTTTTTGTGTGTCTGACTTGTTCTTCCTCAGACTCTACTCTTCCTCATCCCATCATTCTTATTTAGCTTTTTCTCCTAACTTTATCCTATTCAGCTTGTTTATTAAACCAATCATAGCGACATATATTCACACAGTGTACAGAAGGATTATTCCACAACATACAGACATCACACAATCAGTCAATTAATATTTTTTTTTATTTTTGAGACAGGGTTTCTCCGTAGCTTTTGGTTCCTGTCCTGGAACTAGCTCTTGTAGACCAGGCTGGCCTCGAACTCACAGAGATCCGCCTGCCTCTGCCTCCCATGTGCTGGGATAAAAGGCGTGCGCCACCACCGCCCTGCCAGTCAATTAATATTAATTAATGTAGAGAGATCCCAGAACAGACTATATAAAGAATACAGGGAGACTTTTGGCCTGTATTCAGAAAAGACTCACACAGGAAAAAAAGAATGGGTTGAAGGATGGAGGGGGAAAAGAGATGGCGAAATCTCAAAATGGGGGGAAGAGTTAAGAAAATTCATACTAGATAGCTTTAGAGAGACCAGATCAGTACTGACGGAGTTTGGAGTCTGACTTTTTAGCAGCCACTGGAATGGGTTGGTTGGTTGATTTGTTTGTTGTGTTTTTATTTTTTATTAATTTTATTATTTTTAAAAAGAAAATAAACTATCTTTTTTCATTTTACAGACCAATCCCAGCTCCCACTCCCTCCCATCCTCCTATTTCCTCCACCTACCCCGCATGCCCCCCCACATCCACTCTACAGAGAGGGTAAGACACATTGCTGTGGGGAAGGTCCAATGCCCTTCCTACTATATTCAGACTGAGAAAGATATTCATCCAAAGAGAATAGGTTCCCAAAAAGCCAGTACAAGCAGTAGAGATAAATCCTGGTGTCACTGCCAGTGGCCTCACAATCAGTCCCAGCCACACAACTATCACCCACATTCAGAGGAACTAGCTTGGACTTAGGCAGTTTCCTTCCCTGTCCGGCTGGAGTTGGTGAGCTCCCATTAGCTCAGGTAAACTGTTTCAGTAGGTGAACCCATCATGGTCTTGACCTCTTTGCTCATGTTCTCATTCCTCCCACTCTTCAGCTGGATTTTGGGAGCTCAGTCCAGTGCTCCGATGCAGGTCTCTGCCTCTGTTTCCATCAGTTGCTGGACGAAGGTTCTGTGGTGACATTTAAGATATTCATCAGTCTGACTACAGGGCAAGGCCAGTTCAGGCACCCTGGCCTCTATTGCTTAGGGTCTTAACTGGGGTCATCCTTGTGGATTCCTGGGAGTTTCTCTAGTGCCAGGTTTCTTGCTAGCCCCATAATGGCTCCCTCAATCAAAATATCTCTTTCCTTGTTCTCATCTCTGTTTTTTCTCCATCTCAACTATCCTGTTCCTTCAAGTTCTTCTCGCCTCTCTCCTTCTCCCCTCATTTTCCCCTTCCACCCTCCCTACTCCCCCCACCCCCATGCTCCCGATTTTGTCAGGTGATCTTGTCTATTTCCCCTTTCCAGCTGGATCTATGTATGTTTTTCTTAGGGTTCACCTTGTTACTTAGCTTCTCCAGAATCATGAACCTGGAGTAAAGTAAAGGTTCAATATCCCTTACTTTACAACTAGTATCCAGTTATGAGTGAGTATATACCATGTTCATTTTTCTGGGTCTGGGTTACCTCACTCAGGATTGTTTTTTTCTAGTTCCATCCATTTGCATGCAAATTTCAAGATGTCATTGTTTTTTACCACTGAGTAGTACTCCATTGTGTAAATGTGCCACATTTTCTTTATCCATTCTTCAGTTGACCAGCATCTAGGTTGTTTCCAGGTCCTGGCTATTACAAACAATGCATCATGCTGCTATGAACATAGTTGAACAAATGTCCTTATATTATGATTGAGCGTCTTTTGGGTATATGCCCAAGAGTGGTATTGCTGGGTCCTGAGCTAGGTTGATTCCCAATTTTCTGAGAAACCGCCATACTGATTTCCAAAATAGTTTTACAAGTTTGCACTCCCACCAACAATGCAGAAGTGTTCCTTCTAGCCCACATCCTCTCTACCATAAGTTGTCATCAGTGTTTTTTAACTTGGCCATTCTGACAGGTGGGTGGAATCTCAGAGTTGTTTTGATTTGCATTTCTCTGATGGCTAAGGATGTTGAACATTACCTTAAGTGTCTTTTGGCCATTTGAGATTCTTCTGTTGAGAATTCTCTGTTTAGTTCCATTTTTTTAAATTTGGGTTATTTAGAATTTTGATGTATAATTTCTTGAGTTCTTTATATATTTGGATATATATTTATTCTGTTGTGGGGTTGGTGAAGATCTTTTCCCATTCAGTAGGCTGCCTTTCTGCCTTATTAACTATGTCCTTTGCTTTACAGAAGCTTCTCAGTTTCAGGAGGTCCCATTTATTTATTTATTGTTCTCAGCATCTGTGCTACAGGGGTTATATTTAGGAAGTGGTCTCCTGTGCCAGTGCATTGAAGGCTACTTCCTATTTTCTCTTCTATCAGGTTCAGTGTGGTTGGATTTAAATTGAAGTCTTTAATCCTTTTAGACTTGAATTTTGTGCATGGGGATAGATAGTTGAAGATGCTTTCTTTTTTTCCATTATATTATTTTAACTTCTTTGTCAAAAATCAGATGTTTTTAGGTGTGTGGATTAATAGCTGGGTCTTTGATTCAATTCCATTGGTCAATCTCTCTGTTTTATGCCAATACCAAACTGTTTTCTTTTTATTGTTATTGTTATTATTTTATTACTTTAAAAAATACCAATCCAAATTCCCACTCCCTTCCCTCCTCCCACTCCGTCCACCCCCTCCAATTCTAAGAGGGGGCAAGGCACGCTGCCCTGTGGAAAGTCCAAGACCCTCCCTACTACATCTAGGTTGAGCAAGGTATACTGCATGTCTATAATAGAATTTCATGTCAGGGATGGTGATGCCTCTGGAAGTTCCTTTATTGTACTGGATTGTTTTGGCTATCCTAGGTTTTTTGTTTTTCCGTATAAAGTTGATTGTTCTTCTTTCAAAGGTCTGTGAAGAATTGTATTGGGATTTTGATGGGTATTGCATTGAATCTATAGATTTCTTTTGGCAGGATTGCCATTTTTATTATGTTGATCCTACCTATCCAAGAGCATAGGAGATCTTTCCATTTTCTGATATCTTCTTCAATTTCTTTCTTCAAAGGCTTAAAGTTCTTGTCGAATAGGTCTTTCACTTCTTTGGTTAGTGCTACCCCAAGATATTTTATGTTATTTGTGGCTAATGTAAAGGGTGATGTTTCTCTGATTTCTTTCTCAGCTTCTTTATCATTTGTATATAGGAGGGCTACTGATTTTTTTTTTTTTGAGTTGCTCTTGTATCCTGCCACATCACTGAAGGTATTTTCCACTGTAGGAGTTCCCTAGTAGAGTTTTAGGGGTTACTTATGTATACTATCATATCATTTGCAAATAACAAAAGTGCCACTTGGAGTGTTAACAGTGAAGGAAGAGCTGAAGAGACAGGAATGCCAAGTAGCAGTGAGTCTGGAGATGAGGCAATAAGCATGTCCAAGCAAGCAGTATGCTTACCAGACTTCCATGAGCATTGTTCAACAGCCCAGCAACCAGAGGAACAAATGCTGCTTCCTTCAGGAAGTCTGGAAACAAGAAAGGCTACACTCTTTGGAGGGCACCTTGCTCGAATAGCATTGGAATTCTAGGTCAGGATGGAGTTGGCTTCTCTCCACCTCCCTCACCCACTCCTCCCATCAGTGTTTGTTTTATGAGCAGATTTCTTTGTTGTTATTACAGTGGGTTTGCTAAATACCTGTGGACACGTGCACTCTGCTGGGTGCTCCAGTGCAGCCAACAGTTTAGCGACAACCTTACAAATCATATACAAATCCTCTTGTAACAAATTTCTGACCAAGTGGTGGTGGCGCACGCCTTTAATCCCAGCTCTAGGGAGGCAGAGGCAGACGGATCACCATGAGTTCCAGCCCTGTCTGGTCTACAGAGAGAGTTCCAGGCCAGGACAGTGAGCAAAAAGATCAGAGAAACTATGTCTTGAGAAACTAGAAAAAAAAATCTTGTTTTGTTTTTGTGAAACACTCACACTGTAGCCCAGGCTAGCCTGGAACTCTTTTCAGTTCTCAGTAGTTTCCCAAGGACTGGCATTACAAGTGTGAACCATTATGCCCAACTTCATACTAAAACTTTCCCCCTCATTATTACGTCTTTTTATAATTAATGTCTAAAGTTAGCATACCAAGTAATGGGTTTCCTATGGCATTTTTCACACGTCTTTGTTATCTAATTCAAGCTAAAATGTTTCACTGATCTTTTTGCACATATAAAGGCCGCGGCTGTGAAGCCCATCAGGTCCGCCTCAGGCTATTCAGATGACATCCTAGCCCTCGACCACCTCTTCAAGAAGAAGCAGCACTGGACCGTGTCCGATGCAGCGACCCTCAAACAGCACGTGAGTATCAGGTGCCGCCCCAGACTGCGCTGTCAAAGGTGTTTCCTGCTGGGAAGACTCGGCCCCCAGAAATAAATGAAAATCTCCCCTTTATGGTACAAGATGAGCTGCGCCACTCCCGGAACTCCTGGGAGCTAGCGTTCTTTGAGGGGTTCAGGAGAAGACAAAGAATGCAAGGGCTGAAGGTGTGATTTCTACAAGGGAATGGAAGCACCGAGAACATGCTTATTAGTGTCCAATGCAGACGCAGGGAGTGGTGTGGAGTAAATACATTCTGTCCTTCTCTGTGGAGATGTTAGCTGCTAACTAGGTGGAAGGGTGTATTCTGGAGCCTCTCTGCCTATGCCTTAACGTGTGTGTGCCAGCGTGTGAGCATGCCTGTGCCGGAGATCAGCCTCAGCTTTCTATTCCTTGGGTATCTTTGGCTTTTTTTTCTTTTTTTGACAATCGTCATGCTCCCAGTGCCCCTCCCCCCAGGTTTCTACCCACACAGTCTGTCTTCCCACAGCGCCCACTCATACCCTCATTCATCCACATTCTACCCTGTGTATCCATGAGTTCTGAGATTCGGAGACACCACAGAGAGAAAAGCACAGCTCCTACTCTGAGAAAGCTTGGGGTGAGGGTAAGGTCGCAGAGAAGGAAGGGTTCAGTGTCAGTGCATTGGGATGTGTGGAACTTCAGAACACAAAGCCGTGACCAGCTGACTCCTGTCTCTCCACTGATACATCAACACACAAACAAATGGAGGCTGCCTGTGGCCAGAGACCTCCAGCACCAACACCAGCTGCTCCCTAGGCCAAGAAGCTCTAGAAGATCCTGAGTTTAGCCCCCCTATAACTCAGCCATAAGAGAACAGCAACGATCTCTGTGTCAGAGGAAGGACGCTGGGGTGACCATGCCGGCTGCTTCCATCTACCTTCTCTGTTTAGCAGTAGCCACCTCTGCACTAATAACTAATTTGCCCGAGCCTAGACTTCTTCTTTTACACTGACCTTACCTCAGTCACCATCTGACAAACATCCCCCACCCCCCGGGATGCTAGGTCTCATAACACATCACGCTCAACATACCCCATGCTCACTCATACCTCCTACATCAGCCTGGCTCTCCCCTGAGGATGCTGTATCTCAGCTGTAGACGCCACCATCTCCTCAGTCACTGAAGTCGGAAGCCAAGGGGGCACTCTTAACATTGTTTGTTTGGTTTGGTTTTTTCTTATTCCTTACCTCCACCAATCACCAAATCTAGTCCAACTCATTCTGGGGTGTTTTCCAAGTCTGTTCCCTTCTCTCTACCTCTGTTCTCTCGGTCTGAGTTGAGTCCTTCTGTAAGACTTGCCTGGACAACAGGCTCTAATCTGGAATCTTCAGTTCTGCAGCTTTCCCTGCCCTCAACCACTTTCCACACAGCCACTAACGATCGAACATGAAGATGCAAACATGCCCTTGTCCTGCTTAGAGGTAAATGCTTGAGCTGAAGGTAGACCTCAGTGGTAGCCCTCCTGCCTAGCACGGACAAAGCCCTAGGTTTCACTCCCAGTTCTGGGAGCTAGGAAGGATGCGTGCAGGACATTCTTCTGGGTAGTATCCCAGGGATGAAAGCAAGAGAATTAACAATGGAAGAGCAGCCTGTGCTACGTAGGAAGTCCCAGGCCAGCCTGGCCTACTGAGACCTCTCCTCCAGTAGTGGTAGAGTCTTCTGCTCTACACAACTGAGGGGCTCATCTCACTTCCCTCAGAAACAGCCCCCACCCCATGAAGGGCTCTGCTCCCTCCTCTAACCGTCTCTGCTCTGACTTTCACCCCGACACTCTGCCAACACCACGACTGTCCAGCTCTCCTACCAAGTCCAGGGTGCGTTTGTTGATGTGGCCTCTTCATCCTGGGACTTCTTCCCATCACCTCTCGACGCCTCAATCTTAAAACCCTTAAGGATTTGCTCAGCTCAGCATCTTCTCCCAGCTGACTCTCCCTGTCTTAGACTGAATCTGGTACTTATATCACCTAAGTTAACCCCATGCTTCTCTCCTGGGAACTCACTTTGTAGACCAGGCTGGCATCAAACTCACAGGCCTGCCTCTGCCTCCTGAGTGCTGGGATTAAAGGTGTGTGCCACCACTCCCTGGCTTTCAAGTGACACATTCCCACCATCTCGTAGCTCCTAAATCCCATGCTGCCCCATCTCTAATCTCTGATTTTTTACATGTATGACTCTCAAGCCACCAATAACTATGGTTTATAAATCAAAGATAGTTAAAGTAACTCCACTCAGTTTATGTCTACCCTCTCGATGCAGGTAAAGAGAGCCACAGATGCCTATAACTTAGGAATTGCCCTCGAGCACCGGAAAGAAATGCTGAATCTTTGGAGAAAGATCCGAGGGGATTTGATTGGGATTGAGACCAACAACGAGTCCTTTTACAACACCTTCTCCACATACACATGGTCCTGGAACGTCTGCCAGGAGCTGCTTACCGCTAAGGACTTGCGGCTGCACGACAGCTATGTGAACAAAAACTCCTCCAGCAAGTCTGGGTTGTCTTCCCCATCAGACCTCAGCGAGTATGACCTGGAGACAGGACGGAAAAGGAAACGGAAAGGTTTCAGAGGGTTTCGGCAATGAAATGTCTACATTTTCTAAACAACGCTTAGAAAACTGCTTTCCAAACTTATCAAAATTATGGTTTCTTGCTTTTATCGACTACATTCTTAGCAGGTGGAAATTTTGACATCTTTTGGATTCTGGCCAGTAAAAACCTTTAAATCATAGGATGGCTTCTCTCCCCATGGTTTCTCTGCCCCAAATCTTTGCTACTTAAGAGTAGTTACTCTATTATTAGAGCCAGGTGCCCTCTGCTACTCCCACTCAGCTCAAAACAGCCAAGACAGCATCAGGAAGGGGGAAAGGTGGCCTGGGTTCCTAAGGGCCCTCCATGCAACAAACATCTGAGTTTGGGGTGACGGTAAAGGAGATGGGGTTTTTGAATGCTTGTGAAAGACTCCAGATTCAGAGGACAGCAACTGTGGGGTATAGAACCAGCACACCCTCTGCCCCCAACGAAAGAACCCCGTGACATTTAGGAATATTCCTAAGGCACACCTTTCACTTGGATTGCCCCTGCAAATAACTGAGTTCATACATTACATTAAAGATGCACATAGCTGGGCAGTGGTGGCGCACGCCTTTAATCCCAGGAGGCAGGGGCAGTTGGATCTCTTGAGTTCAAGGCCAGCCTGATCTGCAGAGTGAGTTCCAGGACAGTCAAGGCTACAGAGAGAAACCCTGTCTCAAGAAAAAAAAAAAAAAGCAAACACATAACTATATTGCAAATTTGTGGCGGTATCATGATATTTTGTATTGTGCATGTGTGTGAGCTGTATGTACACGTGTGTGAGTTGACCAGGTAGTGTTAAGCACGCTGGTGTGTGCAGAGCCTAGAGGGGGATGTCAAGGCATCTTCTGAAATCCACTTCTCCATTTTGCTTTCTGAGTCAGGGTCTCTCACTGAGCCTGGAGCTCAACATTTCTGCTAGACTCCAGAATCTGCCTGTCGCTATCTCTGCCTCAAATGTCTGCGTGATGCCAAGGCTTGGAAGTCAGGTCCTCATGGTTAACAGCACTGGATGTTCTTCAGAGGACCTGGGTTCAATTCCCAGCACCTACATGGCAGCTCACAACTGTCTTTAACTCCCAAGATATGACACCCTCATATAGACATACATGCAGGCAACACACCAATGCACATAAAATAAAAATTAAAAGATTATTAAAAATATTTGTGTATCCTTATTCTTCTTGGTTCCATTTTTGTAGTTCTTCCAGCATTCTGTGGGTTTTGAAAGTTTATCCAAGGGAGGCACATAACTTTGGGATTCTGCAAACACTAAATCTGCATTAACCTTTTGATTTATTATCAGGATGGCAAAAATGTTTTATTTGCTCTGCAGATTCTCTCTCCCCCCCTGGGGTGAGAGCTACCCTCAGGCTTGATAAATAGGCAATGACAGCCTTGGATTTCCTGATCCTCTTGTCTTCAATTCCTGAATGCCCGGAGTGTGGAGATTACAAACGTACTCCACCATGCCTGGTTTATGTGGCGTTAGGTATCAAAACCAGGGTGTCATGCATGCTGAGCAAGCACCATCTGAAATCTTGTTCATTCATATTGATCCTCTTTCCCTCCCCCTACCCCCTGTCCCTCTGTAGCCCTGGCTGACCTGGAACTAACTCTCTTGATCACACTAGAGAAGAATTTGCAGCAGTCCTCATGTATCTGACCCCCAAGAACTTGTGGCCCCTTTATTAACTATGACTGTGGTACCTACTGACTTGTCAGGGTCAGTGCTGGCCTCTAGGCTCCCTCAGTCCCTGCTCTCAAGCCCCCTTTTTTCTCCTTCCCATTTAACTCTGAAACTCTTTCCCCTTGTCAGTTTGGAATAAACGTTTCCCTTTTCACCCATGAAACAGCTCCTTTGGTTTCTTTACCGAGCCTATTTTCATTCAGTGTACTGTAAAAGGATTGGTAAAGTTACTGGCCTCTCTATGGACTGTATCTATGATTAAAAGTTTTATTTTGACACTAGAAGTGATTCAAATAAAAAAAGGGGGGGTTAAGACTGGGTTTCTCTGTGTAACCCAGGCTGTTCTGGAACTTGCTCTATAAAACAGGCTGGTCTTAAACTCAGAGATCTTCCTGCCTCTGCCTCCCAAGATCTGGAATTAAAGGTGTATGCACCATTGCCTGGACAAAATCATTATTTTTAAATTAAATCTAACAGGGATGTAACATAAAATCCTAATCTTATGAAAGCTACTAACTTACTGTGAATTGTTAAGACTAATTATGAAATACAAACTAATGGTTAGTCACCTTATAAATGATCAAATTCTTCAATGTCTTCAGAACTATACTTGTAGTCATCATAAGTATTAAGGTAATTACAAAATAAGCCTTACTTAGTCCCATGTATATGTTTTCAAATTAAGTCTAAAACAAGTAGAAACAAGCAAAGTTGATCTATTAGATATACCTAATAGAGTTCCTCAAATACTTCAGAGATCTGCATAATATAGCATTTAAAATGTTTAAGTTTCCCATAATAGAACTGCCCCCTCCTAGTGGAAACCCTTAAGGTATTCAAAAAAGATAGCTAGGGCACAAGAACGCCACATGGATTGTGGTAATGCTAACCACTGGGCAAAACTGCCCCATACCTCGCCTGCTGCCAGGGCTCTGCTTGTGGATACTTTTGGGTGGATTGTCCTACTTTACCTGGTCAAAGTAAGGTCAGTCCTCCAAGTTATGCTGCTGGATCCTTACAGCTTCCTTGGGGAAGGGGGTGAGAAGTCACGGCATCAGTGACATAGATATCAGAAGTCAAGTGAAAGGGAAACACCAGGCTTGTTTATTTAGCAATGGGAGGAACTTTATATACCCTCCAAGCACCCAGGTGTTCCAATCTGTTGACATGGAGTGGTGATGGAGGAGTTAATTTCATTGGTTAATAAAGAAACTGCCTTGGCCCATTTGATAGGCCAGCTCTTAGGTGGGTGGAGTAGACAGAACAGAATGCTGGGTAGAAGGAAGTGAGGTCAGATGCCATGGAGTCAGAGACAATGAAGCTCCAGCCCAAGATGGACGTACGGTACGCTAGAATCTTCTCGGTAAGCCACCACCTCGTGGTGCTACACAGATTATTAGAAATGGGTTAGTCAAGATATGAGAGTTAGCCAAGAAGAGGCTAGATATAATGGGCTAGGCAGTGTTTAAAAGAATACAGATTGTGTGTTGCTATTTTGGGGCATAAGCTAGCCAGGCGGCCAGGAGCCGGGCAGCAGGAACGCACCCCGCAGCTCCTTCTACAGAGTGGTAACCCCTTATTGGCTAGACATGATCAGGACCTCTAACTGCACCAGGCAGACTCCAGGTTGGCTCACCTCTTGGCCTGGTCGGCCTTAACTTCCTATATTACTCTGCTAAACAGAAAAATCTCAGACCTGGGTCTAGCAGCCAAAGGCCTATGCTGCTCTGTATGATAGCTAAAAATCTACAACTACTGTACCCAGTGAAACTATGGAGATCAGCAAAGCCTCAGGAAACCTGTCTAAGCAATGGGTCTCTGTCATAGATCATTTAGTTTATATCACTAATAGGTTTCCTGCACTACCCCCCATAATAAATTTCTCCGCTGACTCAGTAAGCCAGATAAAGCAAATTGAAAAAGTATAACAACAGGTATATTAAGGACAAAGTAACTTCCAGGTGGGTTCACTGGTCTCTAAAATGGAAGCCAGAGAAGTCACAAGCCTGAGCTAAATTAGAGAAGTTTTATAGATTGTAGGTGAGTGTTGATGACCTGTCTGCCGCAAGCTGGGTTTGTACCCAAGTAAGATCAAAAGCTGAGCGATTATATGGGGACTTGAGCAGCTGCTGGGATCAAAGGGGAAAATTTCAGTGGCTGCCATGAATGTGGAACTAGGTTTTTGGCATCTTTCCTTTGTTCAGAGACTCTCTGAGTGGGCAGGGTTTGGAGAGAGAGAGAGAGACAGACAGTCAGACAGGAATAGGGCATCCCATGCAGGGGAGAGTCAGAGGCTCCAACCGAACAATTTCCAGTTATTATCTATCCTTCTCAGTTCTCTAAGGATATTGGTTGACTGTGGCTTTAACTACAACCTGAGTTCAACCCCAGAATCCATATGGTAGGACAAAACCAACTCCTGCAAGTGGTCTTCTGGCCTCCTGCATGCCCAGTAAGTAAATTAAAAGTAATTACGTAAATAAACACAAAATTAAAAATAAATTTAGCTATTCCTTATAGTTATAATTTTGGGGAAGACATCAATAAGGAACCATATTTTCTAACCAGAGGGTAAGATTAGTAGCTTTGCGAAAATATTTTTATATAACTGTGTCTAGGAATATAGAATGTGGATGCCAAGCTAGAAGCTAGACATAGTGGTAAGTCACGTAATCCCCACACTTTGGAAGTGGAGACAAAAAGAGTTCAGGATCATGCTACAATGTGACAAATCCAGGACTAACTTAGGCTACATAAGGTCCTGTCTGCAGAGACAGCACCCAGAATATTACAATTACTGCAGTATTTCTTTCGATCAGTGAGATAACAAGATACTTTTAAATACCTCCAATGGGGAAATGTAAACTGCCCAGGAATCCCATCTCCTGGTTACAGTGTTGCACACTACTCTGCTGTGATACTTACAGGAACAGGCATCTCATTCACTCACCAACTTGCTGAATTGCATGCGTTCTATGACCTAGATCTGTAGCAGATAGAATTTCTGACTTCCACGGGCTTAGTAACAGATCTAACTATAGCCAGTGGCTCAGCAATGCCTGGTAATGACTTTTTCAGGACAGATGAGAACAAACCTCTGTTCAGCCCAGATGGGAAAATGACCAAAGGTATCCAAATCTAGTCTAATGAATCAGTGAATTTACTGGAGCTACTTACAGGAGTGTGAGAGAGGAATTGCAGACGCATGCTGACTAAGCAATTGCATCCCTGAAAAGCCCACCCAGCATGGGTAAGGACACACAAAAGCTACATCCTAGAGCTCCCCGCCCAACTTTCAGGCAGCCTTACCAGAGATGACTC